AGTCTTATTTTCATTCTTAATTGATAACAGGTTTTTGATAACCATTATCCATTTATTCCATTTTTATTAAGAAAAAATAATAAAATATGCACTTTATTTTTAATTTTTTAATATAATATTATAATAAAATATGTAAGCACCTATACATGAAACACATTCAACAATGTCCAGGGTGGGGGGGCGATCGCCCCTATCGCCCCCCCTCCTTGCATACGTCCCTGAACTATAATGATATTATGATTTATAAACCACTAATTAAGTGAGTATATTGAGTTCTTTTATTTATTTTTTATCATTTATGAATTTTAAATAAATTTCTCAGGGATGTACATTATAGAAAAGTTGTAAACCATTTGAAGGGTTGTGTTTTTTATGTTTTATTGATATATTTATTTACTTTTTAACTATATTTATATAAATTTTAATGAGTCTTATATATTTTTCTAAGTAATCACATAAGTGAAAAATATATTACCATTGCCCATTCAGTAAATTCCATGGTCGTAAAGGGGCATGTTTCACGTGTTTCTTTTTTAACTTTAATAACTGTACCATTTGCTCTGTTRTAAAATTACTTTGGGATTCAGAATMTAATAGTACGCGCCCAGGACCCATTTCTCCGATTCACTACGCAATGGCGCGACAATACCTTGTCGTCTTGTATTACCGATGTATGTAGTATGTGTGCTTAACGATGTTAATGCTTCAATAACTTCACTTGTTGATACATTTGCTACTGTTGACTGAACTGCTGTACTATCTTCGATTACTGTATTTCTCCCTCCTGGCAGGTGCAATAGCGCTCTTGCGCATTTAAATCAAAATTTAGCATTGCATTTTTTTACTCTCGTGTTAATAACGTATAGACAAATCTTACATAACTTCAACTCCGTTACGCATTTTATTACGCTGYGGTACGGTCGAACTATAAAATTTAGGACATTTGTAAATCGTATGTGCCGATTTACAAACATAACATTCTACATTTTACGTCGACGCGAAAAATGATGACGTTMTTCTTTATTTAATAATTTTTTTTCTCATTTGATAGCTTAGGCAATGAAATATATTAAAATAACAAGACTTRATCAATATTCAATATAAATTTTACTTTTATTCGCTGTTTCACTGATTGAGCGGCAACAATGAGTGTTTTACATAGGCGCGGTTTTAGGTACTAGGTACAACCATAGACATAATATAGATGGACTGCGCGTTCCTTGCGTTTCCTAAATAACAAGACCGGAGAAGGTAAAATAGCATGGATAAGACATTTTTACTATTTTTATTCCAAAATATTATTTTGTGTAAATAAATTATAAAAGTGATAACTGATAAGACAATAGACATGTAAAAAAATGTAAAATATATACCTTAATAGTTAATTATTTAAATATTTACTATTTATTTTTTTAAGAATCAAAAATTAAAATATTACATTTTTAATTACGTAATAACAATTTAATGTTGTATTACTATAATATAAATACTTATACTAAACCATAAACAACTTTTAGAATATAAAGGTAATTTAAAATTATTGAATGTATTTTGCCGACAATTTTTAGCAACATTACCATTGCAGTATAATTAATATAATATGTAAAATAAGTAGTTACTGATGCCKGAAATGAATAGCTTTTGTTAATACTGCCCTTATTCTTGATACAGGTTCGCTTTTTGTTTTATTTAAATGATGTAATCGTATTGTCATATAAAATTTTAAAGCTAACCTTACAATTTGTGAAGTATGATGGTTAAGGGGATCTTGTTTTTTGATGTGTTCATTTAGGCAGTTAAAGTAATTTGTTATCTGAATACTAGAAATTGATTTTATTGTTAAAAATTCAATGATGTTTTTTTGAGAGTCTATTTTATGTTGGAATGATCTAAAAGTAAATTCTGCAATTTTGCATATTTGAGCTATATATTTATTARGTTTTGTTAATGCCCCTCTATTTTTTATGTTAATTAATGATGCATCATGTTGAATATCCATCTTTAATGCTAAAACACAAACGCTGAATTTAATTACTTTTATAACTTTTTTAGTTACAACACCGGCTATATACTCAATGACATCATTAATGTATTTATCATTATATAAATTATCAAATTTATTAAGCAACTCGCTATTATTTTCTATTTCAGCAAAACTAAAGATGTCATAATTATTACAAATGCTATTTGCTTTATTAGTACTTGGAACATGTAAAATTGAAGTAGAATCTTGTGATGCACAATTAGTTCCAGAGTTTGTGGCTATTTGACTTAATTCTGTGTGAACAATCAATCTTTTATATGCTGCTTCGAATTGTGAGGCTGTCGGATTGTTATTAAATCCTCCACGTGTTCTAATTAATGAAAAAAACATTTCCAAGTGGTCCTGAGAAGTCTTATATGTGAGTAAAAAATCAATTTCTTCTGTTTTTATATTTTCTTTAAAAAAATTGCTCACACTGGTTAAACAAATTATAAGTCCTAAGAATTCTGTTTTCCTTTTTGATTCAATTACAGGAATGTAATTGAATTTGTTTTCTTTTTGGTACCTACCATACTTTAGTTTGCAATGATTTTAAGTATTCAATTGCCGTATTGATAAACTCATCCACAAAAGTCTCTTTGTCTAATTTAATTGGTTTTTTGTGTTCAGTTTGCCCCAAAAAGTTCCTCGTATTCAAAAAATCAAAAATATTATTTATCCTCCTACAGAAAAATGTGGTTGATTCACTGTTTGAAAATTCTTTTATTCCAACATTTTTAGAATGATCAATAGCATCCGCAACACTGCTACTAAATACTTGGGCCGCTAATTTCACTTTCATTTTTCTTTATGATAATTGATGTGTCTGTTCCTGATTTTTGTTGCTAAGTGAAGATCTTTTTCATTTTGTAGTTCTACTAATGACTTAAAAAATTGCCACTTAATTTCGTTTCCATTCTTGTCAAATAATACTTTCCAGTCGCCAAGTGTGTTTCAACAAAGTTTAAGCATGTGGCATGCATCATAAAATATGTGAATATTTTCTTTGGTAACTGGATGTTTAAAATAAGGTTGTAAATTTAAAATATTTAAATTAGCACCTAATTTAATAGCCATCATAATATTTGAACTTGCTCCATCAAAAGTTAAAGTTTTAACTTTAGCACCAGTTTGATGAACTGCTTCTAAACATAAATTCACTATATTGGCTTTCTCTTGACCCAATAAACCATTGGTAAGGAAATATGCTATTGGTATTTTCCAATTACAGTTGAGTGCAACTAACATGATCACCAGTGCTTCTCTTGCTAAAGGTAAATTATCACAGTCTTCCATCATACCCCTGCCAAAATCTATAAATCCTTGATTTTTTTTGCCATTAAAATGAATGTCCTCTTTAATACACATTTCATCAAGCATCATAGCACATACTAAATTTTTACCACGAGACTTCATTTTATTGTTTTTTAACTCAATTGCTACTAATGATTCTTTTGTAATACCTGGTGAACCATCTACCACTGTATACCATTTCACAATTTTACAATTTTCGAAGTGTGCTTGGGTRTGGTAAGCATTTATTAAATTTTTTTCTAACATAGTTGTATGCACTTGATGAATAAAAATTAAGAGTTAATGCAAAAGATCTCAATTCAGGTGTGACAGATCTCTGTGTAGTCATATTCAGTTGTTTTAAAATAATTTCTTTTTGGACGTCAGGAAGGGAATCCTATAAATTAAAATTCATTTCTAAACTATAGTTATTACTAACTAAAGATATGATAGTGGTCCCAGAAAAAAAAATAAACACATAAATAACACAAACGTATCATAGTTATGAACATAAATATAATTTAAGTAGGTACAACATAGTATATCACATTAAGAAATGTATAAAAATTAAGAACACATAAGATACGTCATGCAAAACTAAATACAAAAAATGATTAATATCAATTATTATTTGTATAATAAATATTTTTAGAAGATTATGAAATTAACTATTTTAGTAACCACTGCACCTCAACATCATCTTAATCTCAAGATTCATTACATTTACACATAAAGCACACACAGAGTTCAAGTTCAAAAATATTGGTTAAAATATAAATTTTAAACCTATCAATATTAGTTTAGTCAACATAGAACAGCATAATATATTGCATTAAAAAATACAAATACATCTAAATTACAACATAACATAACAATAATTGTGTTTAGGGAAAAATACCTTTAACATTGATTAACATTCATCAGAAATTTTGTTAGTTTTCTGTAAATGTGAAATTAACTGCTCGACATTTATGATTTTTGATTTTTTTTCTCAGGTACCGGTTTTGATTTTGTAACCTCTTTACTCTATGCTTGTATTTATTAAATGTTCTCTGTGAGATATTCCAATACTTTTTTCTTTTTCTGGGATTATCTAAATCATTTTCATTGAAGTCTCCTACATAAGTTTTTCTTTTTCTAAAAAAAAAATGTTTTAAATCTAAAATGTTTCTTATTGAAATAAACCTATTAATATTTTTAAAAGTATTACTTTCTGGTAACTAATGGACGTYTTGTAAGCATATTATCTGCCACTCCGATTACTGAAAAAGTGTCTAGAAACAAATTAAAATATTTATATTTTACAGTCTAAATTATATAATATTTCTCAATAAACTGCTTACCGCTAGTTGACAGATTATATTTTAAACTAGTACTTGCTTCAGAACATTCAGCTGTATTTGAAATAGTTTTATTCACTTCTGTATTGTCTGGAAATTAACATATTTATATTTTATAGTCTAAATTATATAATATTTCTTAATAAACTGCTTACCGCTAGTTGAC